TCATCATCATCATCATCATCATCATCATCATATTATGATAATAATCAAAGTCTGACGTTTAAACCCTAACCAGGCATGTGTCCACCAATTCTGGAAGGTTGATGATGGCATGAGCTTGTGAATTAATATTTTAGGACCTCATGATATCATTTTCATCAATATTTTAGTCTACGATAGTGGAATGCGTGAAGATTTGTAAATAGGTTTTCTGAAGAGATTTTAACAAATTTCTTGTTATTATTACAAATTATTATTATCATTACCATTATTATCACCATTATTATCACCATCACCATCATTATCACCGTCACCGTCACCGTCACCGTCACCGTCACCGTCACCGTCACCGTCACCGTCACCGTCACCGTCACCGTCACCGTCACCGTCACCATTACCAATACTATTATTGTCAGTAGCTTACTGAACTGAACTACCTTGACTGAAACACAATGAATGCATAATTTTGTAGAACTGACTTACTGATTGTCCGGTAAAAAAGAAGCCAGAGGTAGGTGTGGCCCAAAATGACCCACCACATGCTGAGAACACGAACTCCATTCAGAGATGTGATTGCACTGGTTGGTACAGAACAGTCCATTATTTTGCTGGTGTTGCGAATTATTGAGAAACATAAAAGCAAATTGACCAGAAAACCTGAAAAACAACCAATGAAACAAAATCAATGGGACTGCCCAACATATACATGTATAAGTAACCTTTCAAACACCAAGTGCACGCACTAGTACTACATGCACATCAGTGTATTCAATATACTGTGCTAACAAAATTAATACCTTTTTGAACATTTTCCAAGAGTTTTTGACAAGTTCTGACATAATGCTTAAAGGCATGCATGTTCACGTAGATTTTTTAACATTTTCCAGAAAATTTGGGACAATTTCTGATGGCTGACAAAATTGTTGAAGATTGCAGAACAGAACATAAATACATGTTAGCAGTAATATGAAAATGATTTTGCTCAGTCAGCATGTAAACAAGGTGGACTCGCATTATTGATATGTTCAGAACATACGGTACGTAATAACATTCAATGTACATTGTATACTTATGGTGTCAGGTACATGTCCATGTATGTTTATTAAGCAAGGTACCAGTTGATCAGCAAAGAATTCCAACAGGCCGATAGATATGAGTTTTTTATTAGAAGTTAGTTAATACAGATGTATTGTTAAAACCTGACCTGAGAAGCCTATCTTATCTGAAACTTTGCCAGTGTTTAAAAACCCATGGAAACACAGCACTGCATCCTAGGCTTTTTCAAATAAAACTCCAGCCATTTAACACCACACATTTAATTCTGGCCATTATTTAGATAGCAACTATCATTGACAAAAGATTACTAGGTGCTTCTGTTTTTTAAGCGTGTGTGTGATCTTCTTTCCTTTAATGTCCTCCAGTTTCTTTTGGTTTGCTGGACTTTTAGAAACCATTGTTTGATTTGTTCTTTTATTGTTCCAAAACGGTTTAACATTTACTCGACGCCATGTGGAAACCAGGCATGGGCAATAGGCAACAATACAATAGGCATCTATGATAGCTAGGGAAAGTCAACATTTTTCTCCAGGTAAGGGAAAATACCTGGGCTTTTAGTAAAGAACACTACATAAGGTTGAGGTATAACTCAAGAGATGAGTCAGTGACTGAAGCAAGCCATGGAGAGGCTTCTTTTGCTTGCGCTGCAGGGTATGAGTGCCTGCTCACAGGCTAGGAGAAAAGGTGACGCCATAATACAAGGTCCACTAGTGCCAATTACATTGCATAGCCAGTAAAGGAGTCAATGGGTTAAAATGAAATCCTTTGAACTTTATTTTAAATATATATATTTTTACCAAATTACATGTAGATAACATTACCTCTCTCCTTGTGATTGGGTTGGTATACATGAACAGATGAGCCTTGTGATAATGATGATGAGCTGTCACCATAGTTTCCACTCAGTAATGGTGCAGCTTCACCATCTGAGTAATTGGAAAATCCACTGGATAACAATCCGCTTTCATCTGACTGTGGAACTCTTGCATACCCCACTTCGGATTTCATCCAAAACCTCCAAGACTCTTGCACCACACACATGTCAACTAAGGTCCCAGCCAGGCATAAACATGCTATGATGATGCAGACAACACTGTATATGCAAAGGAATGTTTATATTTAAACAAAATTGCTTCTTTACAAATTACAGAAAACAACTGAAGATATTGTACATATTAAATGAAGGATTTGGGAGCACATTGGTGTTTGTTTCAAATTAATTCTAATTAATCCTGTGTTTTAGGTCACTACAATGTAGTGGCATCCAAGTTTCACTCTTCTTGATCAAAATGTTCCACTTAATAGAAATTAAGATGACTCAGTTTCTGGTACTCTCTAAAGTCCAGTCTCTTTCCTCTCTGCAAGTCAAGATGGTTGGATGCATGTCCAGTCTGTGATACAAATTCAACAAATAATTCATACATGTTAACAGCATTAGTGGAAGCCAGAAATGTCATCTGATGCCAATCATAGACAGACAGACACGATTCACTATATATTGTGACATTTGACATTCTCTTGAAATTTTCAGTCTTCTAACCTATTTTGGTTCACAATTAAATTTCTGCTGAAGGGCATTGTATGCTGTGCTTTGAACTCCTGGAGGATATTTAATAGAGCAGAGCCATTCACCTGAAGTTCCATATCAAAGATTGCACTAAGCCACTTTGCATGGTTCCCCTATGAAACTCTTGTTTAGTAGTTCAAACCCTTGGTCCCAGTGACTATAATTATTGATCTTGGCTCACAAATGCATGGGGTACTCATTAAAGTTTTACAATTATTATAATTGACTGGCATTTATTGGATAAGAGTTATTTAGCTATGTTAAAGAGAGACATTCATTCAATATTACATGTATGTAAAATTGTTACATGACATTATTGTGCTATTACTGTAACAGTGATTTAATTTGTAATTACAACAAGACCAGATTATAGAATGTACATTTACCAGTATTGATCGCTATTTGTAGTTTTGATTTGGCCTTAGAATATCAAGTTCTGAAGACCTAGTATATACCTGGACATTGTGAAAACAAAATTAAATCAGAACCAGTTCTGGAGGGGATGTTTGTGAGCAAGACTTGAGTGGCCACAAAGTCATAAAGCGTGATCCCACTGCAATGGGACAACAAACTGTATGCAACTACATACAAGCAACTTTATATAAATCAACAGCTCATGTTACATGTATGGTAATTCTGTGATTTGGTTGAGTTACAGAGGTTCCCTTTCTTAGTGGACCCTTCCTTGGGTCTCTAAATAACTAGATGGTATATATACATGTTTGGTACAGTGCACATGTATGCTACAGTGTACAGTAGTTGTGTAGTATGAAACTAAATAGCAATAAAATGCCGAGCCAAATCTACAGTTGATCAGTTCGTCACCTGTTATATATAATTATATATATATTGCAAATGAACTCACAGTGTTATTATAGGTCCTGTAGTCCACTTGGATGGATGCGCACAATAGACACCATTCACTTTGGCTTGGACAATGCCCTTGTAAGGAGCAGGTAAGTGGTCTGACACAACTATACGTAAAAAGTGCACAAATGGCGCAAGTTAATATTATAGAAAGCTATTCAAAGTACACGTAGAGTTGTCAAGAAAAGAGCTAACTCACATACATACATACATGTACATGCTTCTATGCCAACTCTCCTGGATACAGACTGAATTTTCCACTCTCCCATACAAGTCACCAAATCTCCCAGACCACGGGAATAAAAGCGTATAAAATAAATTTTTCTGACGTATTTTGGCCAATTTATGGCATTTTGGGGGAAAATTTTTGATATTTGATACATTTTTGAGATTTAATTGGCAGATCTCGACTTTGAGCACCTTTTTTTAGGATGAAAAAAAAAAAAGGTAAAATATGCGATCTCCCAGACTTTGATTTTTTTAGGTTGGCATCTATCTACATGTAGATTTCTGCAAGACATTTACCATACCATAAAGCCTCTGAAAAATAAAATGTGTACACATTTTATTTTTTTTATCTACAGAGTACCTGTATTAAGATTTAAGTGATATTTTAAAGTTACATGTAACTGAAAAATTAAAAAGAAGGTACTGTACTTGATGAAAGTTGACAACTTGCATTAACGAATTTTAGAAGTGTTGATCACGAAGAGTAGCTTATGATTCTACAGGCAGTAAGCTTTACTAAATTGGCTCTTATTTAACACTCCAGAATTTTAAAGCAATAAAATCTGAAAAACAACTTACGTTCTAAAATGTCCACAAACCCAAAACCTACATCTTCGTCACTACAGGTTGTAGGTACGCACAGTCCCCACTCAATATAAGGTATTACCTTATTGGTAGAAACAAAAAATAAGATGCAGTTTAACTGTGGTTATATATAAATCAAGAGTGGGTCCACGAGAAACCCAGGCAGAACCAGGCAGGAGGTGATACAGCTCAAACCACTGATTTTGCTCAAAATTAGCACAAAGGTTGGGTTTGGCAATCGAATGATTATCTAATGGCAAAAAAGTACCGGTAATTTCTTCTGTAGGATCTTTAACTGGATCGATTTATTCCGGATTTCACAGAATCTTGGAGTACATTTCTAGCTGTTGGATCTTACAATAGTTCCTTTTGGTACAATTTTAGCAACTTCAGGCACTTGAGTAGGAGAGCTCCGTTGATTTAAACAACTAAGGGGGACGAAATTTAAAAAGCATCTGTTCAGTAATTGTCAATACATACAGTTGATTTGTTTCCATTCCTGATCAGCACTGTGACATCAGGAGCAAGGCAATAGTGTGCATCAGGAATAGTTTTACATGTGGCATAAGACCCCAGCCACACAAGACTTCCTGTCAACACCCCACTGTTTGGTCTTCCTATGGCATCAATGTCTGAAATTAAAGAGCCCACCATGCTCATTATTATTAAGTTACTGTTCTACCCAGGTTTTGGAATAAGAACATGGGAAGATTTCAAAAGAGATATCACTGCCGAATGAAAGTTTGGACTGCCAATCACTACTTAGCAACAATTCAATCGAGTGATCTTAAATTAACAAATAATTTATTAAGATCGCAGGATAACTACATGAGTAACAAAACTACAAAATTGGACAGTTCAAAGTTTTCATCATCTTGCACTAGAAAATATCTATACCCCCGTCTGGAAAAATTCATTTTGGCAAGAAAGTGAATTTATTTAAAAGTTTAGTTTAAAGTTAACACTCCAGACACTAGGCTGTCTGTGTTGCACATCACTGCTGTTTATTCTTGATCAATCACAACATCTGAAAATATGCACAAAGTAAACTTAAAACATATCTACATGTATAGCAATTTCTTTGAACAAACTTTCAAAGTAAATAGCTAAAACAGTATCTTATCAAGTCCCTACAAAAATGTGGTAAAATTTCTATTGAAGGAGAGATAAGCTAAAGTATCGAAGAAAAGGACACCATAATTTTTTCGTGAACATAGTCACTAGCATACTCATGAAGAAAGCCAATTTTCATGTAGCAACATACAAAAGAACAGAAGCAATCAAGAACTAAGAAATTCTCAAGTTTCCGAAATCATGACATCATTTCTACCATTATTATAATATTAATAATTTTCGGCATACTGGAATGAAATCAACAGCCCCTAATGCTCAACAGCTTTGAAGTGGTAAATCGAGCGAATTCGCAGAATTTGAAAACACAGTGGATCGTGGATCAGCTATGAATTTTGGGCGCGGATTCCGGATTGTGCCTGTCTTGATGTTCAGATCTTAGGTCTTAATTAAAATTTGGATCATAGATTTTTCTTCAGCCTTGGTCGGTATGTTAATAAGTCCATACAAATTATTTCTTTTTTTGAACAAAGCTCATTTAAACTCAGGTGTGAGACTGTCATTGGAATTGTACTGTGTTAAAGTCATCACGCATGTTGCCTTCTTTACTATTTGTATGAAATTAACAATGGCATTCATATTTACCAGTTTACCTTAAAGTTTGAACTTTTACACTTCTGTTTCCAGATGTGGTTGTGGTTTTGGATTTGAACAAAAATATTGGCGGATTGACAGACTTGGTGAAAAAAAGGCACGGATCTGCAGATTTGCATACCCCTATTCACCCCCCTCCTAAATACAAAGGCTTTTGCACCAGATTAGCACCATGCGGAAAAAGTAGATCTTTGCAACACAGGGTTTTCAAAATGAGCCGGCACCCAGCACAAGTCACCAGCATTTGCGCCGGGTACTTTTCGTCGCAAAGTTTACTGATACGCAATTTTGTTTTGCCAACGTAATCATGATCTGACCTTTCTGGGGAAATAAATAAAGTGGTGAAAATCTAAACAGTGCGATGATTACGTATATTCCTTTTGAACTTCGAAGCAAGAGCAATATTTTTGGTGAACATGCATGTATGTACGTACATGTACATGTATCAGTTTTGCTGGCACATGAATATTTCCACAACGAAGCAGAGGCAAGAGACGAAGCTGTCTTTTATTAGCACCGTTGAAAATTTACGAAGGCAAACAGGTAAACTAATATTATGTGCTGTTCCAGTTTTCAAAGTGACGAAAAAACAATCGACTAATATTTAAGCTAAATTGACCCCAAATTAATCCAGCTCTTTAAGTGTCCGCGTGGTGAATGTCTTCGTCTTGAAATGTTACTCCAAATGTGCTCCAAATGTATTCTAAGTGACAGTTTGAAAGGTATCTTAAAATATTGTAGAATTTCGAAAGTAACGGCCCCTGTTACTTTCGGATTTAGCTGGCAAAAGGGGCTGCTATTTTCGGGTAGCCATTACTTTCGGATGGTTAAAAAATGTTTGTACGGTAACAGTCCTTTCAGACAAAGCGGATGCACAACAAAAGAAATTAAACATTCCATTTATGTATGTTACTAACTACCCACATAAACAATGCAGCCGTATAAACAAGAAAAAGGCCCTGAACCAGTTGGTACTGTAGGGCGAATCGAAAGTATAATGGTCACATTATATCGCAATGCAACTGATTACCTTACCATAAATCATTTGACTCTACTGCTAAACAAATACAGTTTATAAATCATAGTTTGAACAAAAATTCAGTCAAGTTTGAAATAAAATCACAGATAGCTCTTCAAGTCAATGTTCAGTCCTGCAGTCAGGTTGTTCCATCCACATGACCCGCAGTTGAGAACAGAGACTTTCTCTTTTAGTGACTACTCCAAAGGGCCACTACTTTTGAGTGCGCCGCTATTTTTGGGGGGACTGTTAATTTCAGGGTTCAAGAGGAAGGGAAAAAAATTAATGAGCCATTATTTTTGGGAATTCAGCAGTAAAAGCCTTCATCAACGCAAGTGCTCGGAATTTAAGACAAATGAAAACTCAAAAAATATGAAAAAATCAAAGCAGAAATGAAACAAGAGTGCTGATTTGTTGTAATACTTCATCTATGTGACAGGAAATTGCTTCCATCCCTTCACGATAATGCACCTGATTCATCTGAAGCTCTTTTTCAGTACAAAAACTAAAACGATCTTCATATTGAAACTTTTTTCCTTGAACACATAATTGAAATAATATTGACAATAAAATTACAGTTGATTCATGTTACAGTTCAATTAAATTGCAAGCCAAACATGATACTGCAATGTAACAAGTCCCAAAGGAACGAAAAGTACTATGTAGCATTTAATACACAGATTTCTTTAGAATTTGCCTTTACATATAGAAAATCAAACATATAAATTTACAAAGATCTTAGGACTACATGGTAGATGGTCACATAAAAACCACTTTGGTATGTTTTTAATAACAAACTCCTTGCAACAGCGCTTTTAGCGTCTCTGACAGCCTTCCTCTGGTTCAGCTCAAATACAGTCGAAATAGCTTTTCCTCACAACTAAAATCTAATCACGTGTTGAATGGACTTGCCACTTCCATTTCTAAAATATTATTGGATGAGGTTTTAGTGATATCCAGAATAATCAAGGTCGAGGTAGGGGTTATCAGCTGAAGCCAAAGGCTGAGGCTGATAACCCTTACCGAGACCTTGATTATTCTGGATATCACAAAAACCGAATCTGATAATATTATTGTTTTATTATACATTGAACGAAAAAAATGGAAGTCATGTTTTTGCTTCATCACTGATGGCAAGCAACCTGTGACCTTGAGTGTCCTTGACATGATTATTGTATAATCTGCAGAGATGGCGTCACAGGCACTGATTTCGAAAATTCACTGTACGCTTTTGACCAATCAGAAAAGAGATAGTGAGTTCAATGTACAATAAATAACATAAAACGTAGGGGTAACGACACATTTTTTAAAGTTATTCATTTTTTTGAATACTGTGCCCATTACAATTTTTCCTGTCACCTTCCCAGTAAGTAAACCATTTGTGTTTCTTGAGCACACTTGCTTTCCGTGCACACCATACCATTTGCAGGTATAATTGTTTACAGTTGGATTTCAGTATAATAATTGACAGATAACAGTTAGGCTTTCAGCTAGAAGCCTGTTAGTGGTTAGCTGCTATTCTGGTGTTCCTGGGTTTAGTACAGGTTCATTAAAATTGGTTTGGTCACAGCAGGAAAATTTTGCTTTCATTTTAGTCATGTACTTGCTGGTAGCATATTTGATTATGTCAATGCCAACCCTAGCATGCATGTGGCGGTTAAACCATGCCTTGTGTGATGCGCAGAACGTGTGCCCAGTAACAAATCTAGGTACCGTCCTTAATTAGGAAAGATCAATTCAATCCCAAAAATAGTGGGCTGTAATTTCCCACCCATTTAACAAATGACGTATTCCCATTTCCATTTTTCGAGAGCTAACTGTCAACAGGCTAACCTGAGGGATGCTCAAGCTAACTGGAACGCTATTTAGGCCTAAATGAAACTAAATCAGTCTACATTCAGTTCTACAGTCTGCAAAATGCACCGCCTGTAACTCCGATCCCGGGTGTTAGGAAATCTGCTTACACGTGAACTTACATGAAAGATCTGACAGATTTTCAATAGCTCTTAGAAGCTTACTGCAACGCGCACATCTTCAAAACAAAATCCTAACACAGTTTTCAAGATGTTACTTACATTTTCCGAATTCCGGTTTCCTTGGAAGACCAAGGACGGCGTTCTGACAAGCTTCAGACACATTCGGTAACAAACCTCCACCGGCAGTTAAAGACGAAACATAATGCTTATTTCTCGAATACAACCCAGTCAGCTCTCGAACCGTGCTTGCACGGAGTGAGCTGGTAGAATCGACATGGTAAAAGAAACAGATCATAAGAACAAGCAAGTTCGTCATGGCTGTCCGTCGGAGGAGTTCCAGTTGTCTCACTTGCCTTGTCAGCTAAATAAAGTGACTGAAAACAAAGCGAGGAGTCACGGGATCAACTATTTGCGTAGTACGTTTCGTATCGTTTCTAGAGTAGGGATCAGAGGGTAGGGACAGATATGCGTTCATCATAATGGTAAAGTATGCAGGGGATGAATTTCAGTTAAAAGCCATCTAAAGAATACAGTTTTTTTAATATAAATTTGTCGTCACACAGCATATTCCATTCCTTCGATATATTTTTCCAGCAAGGAAAGGAAAAGCGCTTTTTGCCACACTCGCTATGCATCCCCCCTTGTGAGTTTTTGTCATTATCCAGAAATAAATTTCTGACTAGTACTCAGTCTCCCTCTAGAATGACGAGCATTTCACGCAGTTCATAAATTTGGGTGTCCTGTGGTTTCAAGGCTGATCCTTTTGACTTTTTCGTCGAACGTCTGCATTTTGAAAGTCGTCATACGTCATATACGCAAAGACTATCGCGTACCTCGTGGTTTTCGATGTAGTCTGAGCGGCAGTCTGAGCGGCAGTCTGAGCGGCAGTCTGAGCAAGGCTGAGCATCGTAAAGCGGATATCATCGTAACTCGTGGTTTATAGTTTATCAGTTATATGTTCACGATTACCACTTTGAATCGCCTTGGCTTTAGGATGTTTTTTTTTTTCTTTCTTTCTTTCTTTCTTTCTTTTTTTTTTGCTTTGGGATGTTAAAGTGGGAATATTTCACTGGCTGTAGCTTGATTGCATTTGTTGATTAGTTCCAGTCACGACAGACGGAGTGCGCAGTGGGCAGTGCGAAGTGCGGCGTGTGAAAAAAATAAAAAAAATAAAGGTTGATTAGGTTATTTTAAGTTCGAGTCGTGATTTGTCACATTTTTTAGATCTGGTCAAAACTGGACTGTGCTTTATTTTGTTCCTAAACGTGAACTCGTGAGTTGAATATACCATTTTGCCTGAATGAAATGACCGCGGTCCACTTCAGGCGGTGTGAGTGCTTTTTACACTCCGCATTCCGCACTCTGCGTTTTCGGAACAGCCGTTGCTGTACAAACGTTCTTTGACCATCCGTAACTAGCAGCCCCTTTTTCCTGCTAATAAGAAATTAACAGGGGCCGTTAATGTACCGGTACATATTTTTGTGAGTCTACGGAAACTGGCGCCGTCACGCGATGTATCAACAAATCGTAGTTTATAGAGCGGACCTCTTCACTGACTTCACTGGCATGGGCTTTGACACTATGATGTATCTGTCTGTAAAACCTCGGTTGTTGATGAAAAATGTTGGTTTTAGCAATAGACAGAGGTTGAAAGTCAGCTAGTGAAATCATAAGGAATATATATTAAAGTGACGGCGTCGAACGCACTCATAATCTTTGATTACTTTTAGTAGTAGTTATATACTTGTAGTTAGTTGAGTGTAATATTTATTCCCAAATGTACATTTTTACTTAGTTATTCTGTTTTCTTGGCCGTGCTGGTGCGTCCTGTAGACTCTGCTTATCAAGTCTATGTCTATGTTTAAGGATAAATGTACGTTTCGCTGTCCAAGTTCATTCCCTTCCCTTCTTCGCTTCGATTAGGTCTCTCCAGGTGGTAAACTCAGATTAAATCGAAACTGAGAGACATTTCTATCGCTAGCCGTCCGCCAACCTTTAGGGACTAGTCAAAACGTATTGGGCGGGCGGAGGGGGTTTGGACTGGAGAAGAGAGGAGGTGGGACATCATTTTTTGATCAGCTAACAAGGCCACCTATGGGGGTGGGTCATCCTGCTTTTTTTTTTTTTAACAGGAATTGGCACACATTTGACACAATCGACCACAGAGGTAACTCCTTCCAGTACCAAACGAAGAAAACATGCATTTCGAGCCGTGGTTGAAAAAGTAAAATCTCTACCAAAGCTTAGAAGTCTAACGGATTGAGCAAGGAGTCCCAGGGCAGACATTTTCAATACTGCGCTCTGTTGACATGCTGGTCTTCAAGAAAACTAAATGGCCACCTTGTTTCTGCATGCTGTTTATCCGCAAGGGTACAGGACACATGTTTATAGATCTGGGACTCGTAATTTACTGGCTATGTGAGACCATGTGACTACCACGAAAAATTGGTGGTGAACTATAAGAGGTGATAGTTGATTCGGCCTTCGGCCTCATCAACTATCACCTCATAGAAATCTCGAGCTCATAATCTAATTGTTTTAGTAGGATACTTACTAAAATTTACATCAAATAATGGTTTCCAATTATTTCTTGACGTGTTATTAAACTTTTCGCCTGAAAAAGATCGCTCCGATGGAATTGTCATTTAAAATTGAAGTTGTGTGCGCGCGCGCGTCAGTTTTTTTTTTTTTCTCAATAATTTCAACTTTTTTAAAAGTCAAGAAACCGCATAGTCCTTCGTTTAGACTTCTTAGGAATTTAATTATCCATTTTGCATCAATGCAAAATGTTCCTCCAAAACTTTGGAAAAACGAAAAAAACGTCGCCATTTCCTAGATGACCTCCAGCCACTGCACACTAATGGCTGATAGTGTTCAATGGTTTAGCTAATCAGATTACAGCATCTACTAATCTGTGATGGACAGTGAGTAGCGTAGCAGTGTGTGGCTGTTACCACAATGACGGCCGCTTCTTTGCGGTTTTGAAGTGTCTGTGAAGGGCATCTGAATAAAGTTTTGAACGACTGGTAGATTTATACTAAAACAATTAGATTATTCGCTCTCGATTTCTATGCGTGATAGTTGACTCGGACTGCGCCCTTGTCAACTATCGTGTGGTAGAAATCTCGAGCCCATAATCTAATTGTTTAATAGATAGTGAGTAGCGTAGCCAATCAGAGTACGGCATACGTGATAGAACGCTAGTAGATTTATACTAAAGCGTCAAATAAGGAATCGCTCAACCAATCAGATTGCTGGAAACTCTTTGTTCAGCTCCATACTAATTAATAATATACTGGAATATGTTGGCTCGTCTTCCACGGGTGCCATTTTTCTTGATTTCGATTGAAATTTTTCTGGCTTCTCCTGAGCCATTTATACAAAGATAGCTGTTGTGAGTCTGATTCACAGGCCTTGTTAACTCAGTTCTTGCATGAATTTCATTGATCGCTATATCTATTACTATTGACCATACTCACAAGGTTTGGCTTATATCAGTAAGACCTCATCTGTTTTCTGTTTGTTATATGAATTTTCGACTACCGAGGTGAAGTTTGCAACATCGCAGTTAATTTTCTAGCTCTAGACGTCGCACGATACAAGCTTAGGGATGCCACGCTACGTTACTCCGTCAATACAGCGTGAATTGTTGCAGACTGTGTTGAAATCAGACCTCGTACGCGTATCTCATAGCTTGACTAACGTAAACTACAGCTCAATATTGCACATAACATGCGTGACAAGAAGAGAGATTATGGCCGAGAGATATAACTTGCACTTTTCCAGTTCTACAATCAGATTTTCGGCCATTAAACAAAACGAAAGAAGATTGCGAGATTAACTGTTTGATTCAACTCATCATCGACTTCATCGCTAATCGCGACTTTGATTGACAAATGCAAATAATTTTATGACAACAGACCCCGCACCATGTGACCCCAAATTTAAGCGCTAATTGGATAATCAGCTGTTTTGGTCCGTGAATCAAAACATGCCCAAAAGTGGCATTAGCCGGACTGAACCCGTTCGTTCGTTCATTCGTTCGTTTGTTGGTTTGTAGTTTAGTAGCGAGGCAATTTATAAGCAGATGGAGACCTGGGAAGGAGTAGCTTTCGAAGCTTCATTTGATCTCAATACAAGACACGGCAAGGTTTTTTTTTGCGGAGTGACGTTTAGCTGCTCAAGAACGGGCGACCTTAACCAAAAAAGAACATCAAAACATAAAAACTGATGTCAGCTTGTGCGTGTGAACAAAAACGGCTCTGTTAGAAGCCACCAAACTTGGAAAAGCAGTGATCAATGTGTAACATGGTATAGTTTTATTAAGTTCTTATTAGTTTGGTATACGGAATTACAAGTTACAAATTTTCGATGAAAAGTGTTAATTTATACAAAATTACGGCTCATTGTCCAGATGTTCTCGCAGATAAGCCACATACCTGATCTGTTTACAAACATTTTGATTAAAACGTTGCAGCTTAATATCTGCGGGTGTACGTGTTTAAGGTAAGGTTGTGTGACGTCATGAGTGAAGTAATCGAAGACTCAGGAAATAATTAACTGTAATTACAATTATTCAACGAGGCGCGTAGCGCCGACTTGGCTATTATCATCTCATATACAACTAGCCGCACTTTGGGCTCGTCACGAAGGAGGCAAATATCTAACAAGCGCGAGTAGAATAATTGTTTTATTAAAAACGCCCCCAAAATAGAGAAACTAAAATAAAAAATAAAAGTAAATATAAACGCCCCCAAAATACCATGATGGCTAAGCCAATGAAAACTCTTGAATTGCATTATCCCATTATCCAGTTTTTAATATTTAAATTTAGAGAACGCCTTGATCTGATGCCAAGGTGTAAGTCATGTCCTTTTTTTTCTCGGTAAAACAAACATTATCACGAGGTGCGTGGTACTTGCTGTATTCTGGCACGAGGTAACGGGGGCGTAGCCACATCAGGGAGTGATATTGCTTGAAGGACTGAAATTTCTGTTGTTCTTTCGACAATATGTTACGTCTTATTTCATTCTTTAGTCCGAAAATATCATTTCCTGAGGTAGCTATGCTTGAGTTACTTCCATTCTGCGGTTCTTCTTTCCTTGCAAAACAATCAATTTTCGGAATTAATCGGCAGCTTCTCCACATTCTCGCCACTGAAGTTGAAGACTGTGTATATATAAAAAAAACTAAACCTGTTTCCGAATGACAGCCTGTTAGGCCGTTGCTCAGGTGAACTGTGATTTGCTGTAAGGTCAGCTGACTTGCAGTCACTGGAACGCATTATTTCTCCAGACGCGCGTACAGGTTACCCCGAGAGCTTTTCAATGAACCACATGGCGCGTACCATGTCCGCGGAAAATAGACCTAGCGACACATGGAGACCACGAGAGGTCAGGAGCTGTCGCGCACGCAGCTAACACGTAAATAAATACAATGTCAATAGAACTTATATCGGTTTGGACGAAGCTATCCTGACAGGTAGGTAACACGCGCAGGAAATGAAAGTGTTTTTATGGTAGTCCGATAGCAAATAATAATTTTCTTAAAAATTGAAATCTGAACAATTTTTTTGAATAGCCAAGTTAAGATACTGGTCAAAGGAATGTATTAAAAAATTCTAGGGATGCAGATGTGCTAAAAAGTTCTCAGTTGCGTTTTTTGATACATTCGTCGATCAATTTTTACGCGGCTTTG